ATAATAGATCTAGCTTCAAACAGCTTTTTGAGTCACTTTAATTACATTTTTCATGGAGCAAATTAAAGGTCAAGCGTTCATTATGACCTGCTGATCTTTAATTCAAGATGGCCGCCCAGCCCTCCAACGCAGGGCATTGTGTGGGACAGGTTAACGCTCAAGCAGCTTCCACCAGGGGATTCTGATGTTATCAGTCCATTAAATGGACGTTATTAGGCGTTATCAGTCCCATTCAATGGCTTCAGAGGGTCCCTACTGTGCCTTCTAGGCTTCAGACAGTGCTGACAGTGCCCCCTAGTGGGTTAATATATCAATTATAATGAATGTGTTTAAATAACTGAAGCATATTTTGATAAACTTCTGGTCTGGTCTGTGTGGGTCTCAAGACCTGGTCTCTCACTCTCTGATCCAACACTCAACCCATTGCCCCATTGGAAGGCCACAATTTCAGCCTTTGGAGGGCGGTGTCTTTAGCGCTAACCATGTCATTTCCTCTAAAGTTAACCTTAGTGGCTTTAAGTCTCATTAACCAGCTGACAATCGGAAGCCATTCTATGGGACGAGGGAACCTGGTAATGGGCACAGCCGGGACATTCTGAAGCCATTGTATCGGACTAATAACGTCCATTTCATGGATGATAACATCCAAAGCGGGTGCTTGAGATGGGAATCGAGAACCGGTTCTTGCAAAGAATCGGTTCTTAGAAGTTCAATTCCTTTGAATTGTTAGTTTCTTTCCTAACGATACTGCTTATCAATTTGTATTTGATATCCAAGGAAGAAATGGTCTAGTGGTCATATTTCACAAAAAAAAGACAAAACTAGGATCAGTTACAACACATGCAAAGCTTCAATCACAACAAAGAGCTGAAATACTTCCTACAGTACATGCAGAGACATTGTGTTTATTCTTATTTTTTACTTAAACTAGTTGTTATTTTTCTGAGTAAGACTAATTAAAGACTTCAGGCACAAGAACAATGTTCTATTTTTCTGTTGCCTAACCAATGAAAACTGATAACAGAATTAATAAGGAATTGAATCTTTAAGCAATAAAGACAACGGAATCAGAATTGCTAAATTTTGATCAATTTCCATCCCTGCTTCCACCACACCCACTCTGAGCTCGACCTGTGTGTAATTAGTGGGGTGGTAATCGTGTTTGTGTGGTCGCTCAGCTGTGGCGGCCATCTTGAATGGGATTAACCCCTGAAGTTAATCAGTCGTTCATCCGATGATTACTTTGTGAGAGTTTCCTTCAGATTCACTACAGGTTCTTGAGATATTTTGCTAACAGTACACGACTTTTATTCAAAGAAAATATGTTTAAATTTCAAACAAGCAGTTTTTTACAGTGAAGTGATTAAATTGCTGTTTGAGCTGCATATGGAGCCACTAAGACGATTCCTGCAGCCAGACTCCAGGTCACTTCTCGGTCAGATCCAGTGAGGTGAAAAGGTTGTGGATTAAGAGCAAGAAGTCGTCCCCCTCCCCCCATTCAACAGCTGAAGTCTGTTTTTTAAGTTTGTTTTGTAACCTTTATTTCATCTCTTGTACAGTAAAACTGATCTGTCCAGAGGGATTAGAAGTTTTTCATTTTCAGAAGCACGTCTTTGTGTTTTGACCAATAAAAGATCACAAATCTGATTTGTTTCAACTCAAAATAAATGTGTTTTTACATTTGGCCTGAATGTTACTGTGACTGTGTTCAGTAAACACGAACAAATGTTAGCATAACTACCAATCAACTGGTTTAGCTAATATAAAGAAAATAAATGACTTAATGGAAAACTTGATATTTGACACATTATTTACAGTTTAAGTTAAAGCAACAGTGTTGATAAGAGAATTCAAAGGAAGGCTACTGGATTGTTTTGCTGATGAAGGAATTTTGCAGAGAAAATTTGATGAATTTTCTCAGTTCAAACTGAAAAGTGCAGCAAAACATTTGAACTTGTTAGGATTCTTGTCACCCAGATCCCTGAGGATATTCAGCAGCACTCACTTTACTTACATTTAAGTTGTTTCATTGGTTAAAAAAACATTTATCATCAACAAAGAACTGAACTGTAGCTAAATAAACCTAACGTTGTGACCATTTTCTAATTGAGGTTAAGTTGTTTAGAAGACAACTTGTAATTAAGAGTCCCCGCTGAAAAGAATAAACCATTTAGCAGAATTAACTTGAGCCTCAGAATTACGATTAGCCACCTGCTAATTCATCCTTTTCCCCGTCTTAGCCTGGGTAAACACACTCACAGGAGAAAGGTGGCGTTTCTGTTGACAGAATCCAGAGTTTGTGAGTCACTTTGTGACACAGGTCAACAGTTCACCGGTGGAAACAGTGCACGTCGCTCAGAGTTAGCCATCTGGACTGGATTAAAGAAATGAAGTGTTTGAAGCTTTTTGGAGACTGAAGTATTCAAATATTTTAATGTATGCTGATGATACTGTTCTTTTNGGTGGGGGGAGGACCAGGGAGGATGATTCAACCACTCAACCACTAGATGTTGCTGAAAACAACAAATCCTACACACTGTGCCTTTAAAACTGAAGCTGAATTTATATTAAGATTCAGTTTAGAAAAAATCGATTGTGCCACTTCTTTCACAAACATTTTGTAAAAGTTGTGTCTAAAAATTAAGGAAGTTTTAATAAATGAAAGAAGTTAAAACCCAGACCCGGCCCAGCCCAGCAGCCAGCTCAGACTCACCAGAAGTGAAAAGCACGATGGACTTGAGGCAGGAATACTCGGCGGTGTCGACCTGCAGGGCCTTCAGCTTCTCCACCTGCTCCTGGAAGACCCGGATGTGGTCCATGAAGGCCACGACGCGCTCGGCGGACATGGGTGAGGCGTGCAGGCCGGCGGCGGCCAGCAGGGGCGCCACGTGAAGCGGCATGGAGCACTGGGCGGCGTTCAGGACGAAGAGCTCGCTCCAGGACATGCGTAGCAGCGCCACCTGGACCACAGGCAGGAGGAACATTAAAAACTATCAGAACAGCAGGAAAAATTAAAGAACAGTTGCAAAATTTTGAATCTGATGTAAAATATGAGGCAGGAAATTTTTTAAAGTGCTAAATAATTTATTTTTATCTGATTTTCAGATATATAATAACAAATATTGAGAGTTCTGGGCAAATAGGCCAAAATATTAAATTTTTTTACATTATTCAATTCAATTCAATAATACTTTATTGTTCCCAGAGGGAAAATAGGTATATTAAGTATATTAGTATATAAATATAGGTATATTGAGAGACTTAAAATGTAAATCATACAGTTTTATACAAGGAAACTAAACTGTCTGGCTTTGAGTTATACAGATAAAGTTCAGTGGATTGGTGACAAAATATTAATTACCTGTTTTTTGCTGTAAATAATTCAGTAAAATGTAAATAAGCCACATTTATTTACTCCTGGTGACCTCAGCTGAATGCTAACATTTATCTGAAGTCTATATTTAAACTAATTTTAGAAAAATCCTCAAACAAACCTGTTTTACCAGCTGCTTCTAACCTGAATCTCACGTTATGTTAATGATTTAAGACACATTAAGTAAAACTTAAAAGTTAAAAAGTAAAAGTGACTTGAAGAAGCAATCTTCTTGTTCAACTCTGACATTTTCAGGGATTTTTTAAAACTCAAACGTTTCCAAAAAAACAGACTTTCAGAGCAAACAGTGAAACAACAATCCTCTTTTTATGAAAGAGGTGGAGCAAACAAGAAGGAAAAATATTTGTTTTGAGCTTATCTGAGCAACGGCACAAAATACGGTTTAAGGGAATTTGTGGACGAGATCTCCACAAAACAAGAAATGTTAGAATAAGTTTGTGTTTGTTCAAGTAAAGAACAAAACTTACTGGAAAATCAGCAACTAGAACTGCCAGGAAAAATGTGTCCAAAGGGCAGAAAAAGACAAACTAATGACAAAATACAGCTCAGAGGTGTTTCTGCAGCAAACTGGATCCAAACATTTTAATAGATGCTTGTGGAAGAAAAACTCATCAGAAATAAATAATATATAGTAAAAATATATATATAAACACACACATTTTACACACAAACTTAGGATTCCTTAAGCAGAGTGTCTCAAACGGGGGTCTACGAGCCATAGCTTGGAAGGAAGTCCTCAAAAATTATAATATATTATTAATTTTGCCAAATCATTAGAAAAACTGAACAAATATATACAAGGAGCAATGCATTAGTATAATAATAATAATAATAATAATAATAATAATAATAATAATAATAATAATAATAATTCCTCTCAGGGCATTTAGGGGTTAAAATGGCAGTAAATTATTTTTAATCAGCATGAGGTTCAGGTAAATGTTTCACCTCTGTAAGGGGGTCCGCAGGCCCACAGAGTTTAAGAAGCCCTGTTTTAAAGGACGTGCAGCGGCTCCAGTCGGACACGTCTGTTATAATAATGTTTGTTAAACAAACGTGAAGATTTAAGGACCGACTCTGAGCCAAGACTTCCCTGCTGCTGTAAATCGCTCCTCACTGAACGCTGCTGTGTTTCTGCCAAAAACTCGTTCTTTTTACAAGCTGCTGAGTGACGGGAAAGAAAACATCTCATTTATTTATTGGCTGGTTGTTTTTTTTTATGTTTGGTGAAACAATGTTTGAAGGAATCTAGCTCTTGTCTGAAGCAGAAAGGGTTTCAGATGTTATGTTGGCTGCGAGTCGAGCAGAGCTCTCTGAACCCACCTGATCCATGAGCTGCAGGTCGGGGAAGAAGGGTATGTTCTTGGCCCACTCCACGGCGCTGAACAGCAGCCGGGCGGCCAGCTCGCAGATGTTCTCGATGCCCATCAGGTTGTTGCCCTGCATGCACTGAGCGCCGTAGCGAGACGTGGGGTAGGGCTCGGCGCGCAGCAGCAGGGAGATGAAGCCCGACAGGTAGGGCTGGTTGTTGTACGGGTCGGTACCGTTGGTCAGGTACTGGCCCGGGCTGCTCTGGGAGTTGGAGGTTCGTCCTCGTTGTACTGCTGTTAAAAAGGACACAGGTAAATTCAGCTGCCTGAGCCCCCCCCCCCCCCTCAGTGTTCAGTCTAACTTCAGCAGCGTTGTATAAAGTACCTCAAAGTGATACTTGAGTAAAAGTACAAGTATCTTACAAAAATACTTTGGTAAAAGTTAAAATCTTCTCTAAAAATATTACTTGAGTAAAAGTCTTAAAGTAGCTGATATTTTTTGTACTTTAGTATCAAAAGTAAATTTCTGACAAAATCTTCTTAAGTATTAAAACTAAAAGTTCTGAGTAATGCTCATTCTTTCACAAGTTATCTTATCAGAGTATAAATATTCACGTGTTTGTTTAACAAACATTATTATCACAAACGTGATAATCTGGTAATAATGTTAGATTTTCCAAAATGACATTTATTGGGAGGTGACTTCTCCAAAAAATATATTTTCTAACAGCGTGCAGCTGTGATGGGTTGTGTACAAGATAATAGTGTGTCAGAATGGTATATATTTATACTTCTCATCCAAACACAATTAAATTCACTCAATCAGGAGACACAGTTTATCAGGATAGTATTTTTTAAGTAATAACAACTCAGAATAAAACAGGAGTAACGACTTTTTACTTCTTAACTTTTTTAAAAAATGTAGTGAGTAGAAAGTACAGATAATTGTGTAAAAATGTAATGAGTAAAAGTAAAAAGTATGCTGAAAATAATTCCTCAAGTAAAGTACAGATAACCAAAATTTCTACTTAAGTACAGTAACAAAGTATTTGTACTTAGTTAATTTACAACTCAGAATTTTTAACAAGTTTCAAAGTTTTTGTACTATGTAGGGGAGATTTCTGTACAAGGTTCTTTTTGGGTCCAGAATTTTTTTTATTTAAATGAAATTTAAACTTAAAGGCACAGTGTGTAGGATTTTGTCAATTCTTTTAGCTGAAATTGAGATAATCACTAATGACAATAATAAAAAACATGTCTAATCATTGCAGACAGAGACCTTGTTTTATTACTTTTACCTTATAAAAAGCTGTTTATATCTCCATGGTCGTGGGTCG